GATTTTATTGTTTATTTTTTAACTCAAGAACATGATGTGCACAGGGATAGGTGGGCAAGAGTTGTGCAGGAATAGGTGGGCATGCGTTGTGAGTGAATTGATGTTGATCAGTTAGTTGGAAAAGCTTTCTATGTTCCCCCTACAGCATAGAAGTTCTATCCTCCCTCTTATCCAACCGTCCATTTTTTAATGGACGGCTAAGATTGTCCCAATCACAATATCATGTCTCTACACTATTTTATTTTTAATTTTTTTTTATAAACTATTTTGACACCAAATTTAGATGTCCATTCCTCTCTTAGTTGTAGGGAAAGGTAGAACTTTATGTTGTAGGGGAAACATAGAAAACTTTCCCCAGTTAGTTTAAAAATATAATTAGAATAAAGTTAAATCGGGTTAGTTTAAGAGCATAAATAGAATAATGTTAAATTTAGAGGGTTTATTTTTGGCAACGTGGCTACCTATTGAAGTCGGTAGATTATGGGTAAAACATGGCTATCTATTGAAGACGGTAGATTATGGGTAAAACGTGGCTATCTATTGAAGACGGTAGATTATGGGTAAAACGTGGCTATCTATTGAAGACAGTAGATTATGGGTAAAATGTGGCTATTTATTGAAGGAGAAGGTTTGGATAAAAGGTAGTTAGGTTAAAAAAGAGAAAATAGGAGAGAGATAAAATAAGAAAGTCTGTTGTTTATCTTATTTTTTAATTTTTTTTAGTATATTTGAAAGGAGATAAAAAAAGTCCATTGTAAAAAAGTTAAAGAGTTAATAAATTTTGATATCGTGTAGATTCTCTTATAGACTTTAAGATAAGGTATATTATCTCAACCATTTTTTTTACTTTTTTATTTTTTTTCCTACATCACCATCGATTTAAAGAAGAGAGAGAGTGTCATGGGAGAAGCAGAGGCTATAGAGAGAAACTGAAAGAGAAGAAGGAGAAGAGACAACCAGCTGAAAACCTGCGTAACAATTGTACGTCCATTATCTTCTACAGCAATAATATAAGTATCCTTCATAATTATTGGAACGTATTTACAGTTAGCCATTGTAAAAAAATCATTCACTCCAATGGCCGGATGTTACAAATTGAGACAAAGTCAAAGCCCATTATAGTATAATCCCTAAACCTTCTATAGCATGAACCCTGGATATGTGGGTTATGCAGAGGCGACGCCCTCTGCAAATCCAGGAAACATGGTGCTCGTAAATCATGTTAATAGAAATCCCTTAACAATTGGTACCAATCTCTCTTAAAACTCAAGCCAACAATCTCAGGCGCACAACGCCAGGTACTCATTGTAAACCCGCCTGTCATAAACCCGAATTTGCTTGCCTATCGAATTTCAGGCCATCACCAAGACGATCAATGGAGGAAATAGGGCAATGAACCCACCCTTCTCCAAGCAACTGATCCTCCCCAAATCGTAAATATGAACAGTTCAGCCTCAACCTCTCATTTCCAACCTGTTCAGGAAATCACGATTTCTCAGATGGGTATTTGAATAGCACCCATGGCGTCTGATCAAACATAACAAGGGGTTCACTCTTTGAGTCTTTTTTCCCAACAAACATCGAATGGCATTCGAATGGCCGTGGATTATCTCATAGAATGAAACAGGGGACTGTGGACTCTGTTTCATCAAATTTACAGGGGGTTCCGATGGGATAAAAATATTTAAAGGCGACTCAAGAGCTTCTTGATAAGGTTGATAGTGTAGGGAAGGGCATTAAGACTTAAAAGGAAGAGTTGGGGAGATTCACAGGGGAGAGAGAAACACGCCAAGTGGACTTAAAAGGCGCACTTGGGGAGATTCACGGGGTAGGGAGAAACACGCGAAGTGAAGAGAGAGAAGGGATTTAGAAGAAAAAAAAAAGTTTTTTTTTTTTTAAAAAAAAGTTTGAGCTATAAAAGATAGGAGGAAGGTGGGTAAAGTTCATCTAAGTGGTTAAAAGATGGGGTGCAGGTGGCATACGGATCCATCCGTACTTGTAGTGGTTAAAAGATGGGGTGCAGGTGGCATACGGATCCATCCGTACTTGTAGAGGTAAAGTGCGCTTTTTAATTTTATCATGGTATATAATTTTGATGTAAAATGTTTTTAGGATTATTTTAAAATTTATTTTTATATTTAATTATAAAATTTTAAAATTTAAAAATGGTTAAAATCAAGTAGATCTATAAACATATGAAAATCTTAAAAGTGGACGGTGCAGATAATATGATATAAAATGCACTATTTTTTAGATTGAAAATCTTTTTATTTTTCATAGTCATACATCTCGATGCGCCCAACGGTGTTGAGAGAGAGAAAGTAGAAGTGGAGTTGAGAGAGAAAGTAGAAATGGATATGCTCAAGAGGGAAGGAAAATGAAAGGAGAATGGATGTACATAGGAGAGCGAATGGCAAGAGATAGTGGATTTGTTTTAGGCAAGTAACGTGCATAGATTACCCACACGTAATGGATTTCACAGCCATTTTGCTCGTAATAGATTTCACGTATTCCCTTAAAGAGTGTGAACTCTTTACACAGCTTTTTACAATAGCGAACTCTCACTCTCTGATGCATTTAGTGAATTGGGTTCACAGAATTTGATGAGCCAAAAGTATTTTCAGAA